GACTCAATGAAGACGTAGTTTAAGAATAATGCTGGGACCAGCACACATCTGTTGCATGTTAATGGACTACATGTAATTGCAAGGAAATTTTAGAATTCTGTTTTGAAAACAGTTTACATCAGGCACCGTTGTGATTAGTGAAAATAAATACTGATCATTTGTATATATTAATTTTCTAAGTTTTGCAAGTAGTCTTGAAAATTTTCAAAATGAAAAAAAAATAGATCGGGATATTGTCTTTTTCTCTAAATTAATTCTGTTATCATAGTTCTTTCAATAGTAAGCTTTAGATATAAATAACATCATCTGTTCTTTGTTGTTTGAATTTAAATTAAAAAATTGTTTAACACGTCCGTGGGAAGCGAGAAAGAGGGAGTGACGTCCAAATAATTTTACTGCAATACTTCCGTCAGGTTCATTTATACAGTAATGTGTGTGTCTCAAAAAAGTCCAGTTTTTTTTTTCATTTTGTATTTATTGTTTTGCATTTTTTTTTTTAAAATTAAGTAATCCTTTATTTATTTATTTCATTTTGTGTGTGTGTGTGGGGGGGGGGGGTCTCAAGAAATTCTGAAACCGCTTTCAACAGAACTTTTTTTTATGTACAACAACTACTGTCAGTATTGAAAAAAATATGAGTAAAAGCTTTAAAGGATTAGTTTTTAATTACATGTATAACCATTATTGAAATAGCTTGAGTTTAAAAAAGTCTTTATAAAGTTTCATATACCAGTTTTTTTTTTTTTTTTTTCTAAAATCATGTTTTAAAATAAGAACGATTCCTAACGATTTTTTACGGATTTTCTTTCCTCATTCTTCCTTTCAACAACCCCCCCCCCTTTCCAGTCAGTGTTAGGCTTGTTTTTACATCTTCTGGGTTCAGAAAAATATTCTCAGTAATTATCAGCGATTCTCAGTACCAACAGTAACTCTCAGCAAATATCAGTAATTATCAGAACCCACAGTAAAAACGACAGTAAATATCAGTAATTATCAGAACCAACAGCAATTATCAGTAACAACAGTAAAAATATCAGCAAATATAAGAAATTCTCAGTACCAACAGTATAATATCAGTAAATATCAGAAATTATCAGTAAAAAGTGGCACTATCAGTAATTTTTATGGCCAGTAGTGTAAATGATTTCCATGCCCAAAATACATGCTAGTTTTGTTTCATTCAATCAATATATGTAGGAAATATCTTATACATGTGACAAACGTTATGTCTTTATCTTTTCCATCATCGACTTCCCCTATTTGTGCAATAGTTATTCCAATATCACCTGAATGTGGGGTTTGTATCTCCCAACTAATTCTGCAAATACAGTAGGGCATTTTCTGAGTACGATAAAATTTTAAATCAAAAGGTTTGTAAATACAACATGTCGCTGGTTCATCTTTCAGTGACATGTTTCATATCTATTGTTACGTCTTTGCTCTATATTCATTTCCATATCGGATTTCTCCGACTACCTGATAATTACAGAGGGCTCACGGTGGGTGTGACAAATCGACAGTCCATGCTTTCTCCTCCTAGATACATGTACCTGCTCCCACCTCTGGTGTTTCCAGGGGTCTCGCTTTTGTCTTGTTCACGACCTGTAGAGTAACATGAATAATGACATTGGTCGCTGTTTGTTATCTTTATCTTTCTCATATTTACCATGTATATTGCATGTATATATAAACCATCATTCCGATGTCACGTATTTGATCTTTAAACTACATGTATATACTAACGTCTAGCTCTATCTGTAACAATAGGTTATCACTGTCATAATCAGCGTTTGATATTTTGTACTAGTATGTGACTGAATCTTTTATGTAATAGTTTATCAGAGTTATTTGAGTTTCCTTAAAAATAAATGATTTTGACGTAGAAAAAAATCAGGTTGGGTATCTTTTCTGTTTACATGTATTAAGTATAATAAAAAGTACAAGTATATTAAAATCTTTACAGTGCCTTCCTACCTTGTAACCTTAAGAGTCTTCTTTCGCCTACTAAATTAAGGTAGAAAAGGTGCTCCAGGAGACATTGAAAAAAAACTCAGTCATTGAAGTAATTCAACTTAATTCTTTCCCCCTTTTTTCTTGGTGAATGTTAAAGATTGTACTTTTAACATTAGTTCCTAATGTTCCTAATATATGTCATTTATTAGACCAGTCTTAGAATATGGTGATGTTGTTTGGGATAATTGTAATGAAATGGAATCATCTTTATTGGAAGAAGTTCAAATTACTGCTGCAAGAATTATTACAGGAATGAGAGTGAACTCATCAAGAACACTATTGTATGATGAACTGGGGTGGAATACATTATCTGACAGAAGGAAAGTACATAAATTAATATTATTTTACAAGATAATGTATGGGATAGCACCACAATACCTTCAAGATTTACTAAAACCTTGTATTCCACCCCACACCCCAGATCCTTTAAGAAACAATGATGGTCTTACTTTTCTTATTCCTCAAACTAGGACCACATCATATATGAATAGTTATTTCCCATCTAAAATTAAACTATGGAATAATTTACCATATCATTTTAGAAATTTACCAACTCTATCTTCATTCACTAATGCCATTAAAAAGGCTCATTACAGAACTCCCAATAAGCTTTTTAATCATGGAAATCGTAGTAAAAATATTATTCATTGTCAATTAAGAAATAATGCTAGTAGTTTAAATGCTGATTTACAGAAGGATTATATAAATGGAAGTTCCAAATGTGGAAACTGTGGTTTTCATACTGAAATGCATATTATTTTTTCTTAGAGTGTCCATGTTATGTCGAGCAAAGAAATACTCTTTTTAATTGTTTATCTAGTATAGACCTGCAACATCCTGTATCTCTAAATGTTTTGTTATTTGGTGATAGTAATATTTCTTATGCAAAAAATATGAAATTGTTTTATTGTGTTCATAAATATATTTCACAAACCAAGAGGTTTCATAAATGATGTGAAATTATGAAATAATTGTTTCTTGTTTAAATCAAATATACATTCATTGTGTTTTATATAAATTGCTGTAATTCCCATTTTTCAGTTCTTTCTCTCGTTTTCCCATTAACCGTTTGATTTTTTTTTCCCACTCTTATTCTTTCTTTTTTTTTTTACTTTTTATTTTCACCTAAATTCCATTCAAATTTGTGTTACTCAACTATAACTTATTGGTGATATGAACCTGCATTTATATGTAGTAATATGTATATTTTAATTAACCTTGTACCTGTGGAGGGGGCTTATATAGGCTATGCCTGCTGCTCAGTCCAGTTATGTATTTATTACATAATAAAATATGTTCAAAACAAGGACTTCTTGACCTGCTAAATCAGGATGCCATCAATAGTTATCGAGGAGATAGATCAGATAATTTCCAATAGTTTACCCTTAAGACTGACGCAACATTCAGAGATTTTGGACATGTAAGAACATTAAAATTGAAATTAATAAATAAGTCGGGAAACTTCATTTTATCAGGTTGTACGATATTTGTAGAGCTGTTATAAGTAAGCTTTCCATTTAAATCCTCACTTTTTCAATGATTTGGAATAAAAAAGGAGATGAAAACGAAAAATGATGGATCTATAAAAAAAAAAATACAAACAATACAAACTAGTAAACAGAGCTTAAAACACAGACCCTGGAAATTACAGAGGTGGGATCAGGTGCCTAGGAGGAGAAATTATCCCCTGTTGACCGGTCATACCTAACATGAGCTCTTTGTATTGATCAGGTAGACGGGATATTCCATCGTCAAATTTTGTTTAATTACAAAGGTCTTATATTTGGAATGAAAATAGAGGGTTATATCGTCTTCAGTTACTTCAGCCCCCACTACAAGGTGTACATCTACCTTTTGGGATGTTCCACTGAGTAGATGAATAACCTAATAATATCAGGACCAGACCTCCAGACAGGTTTACGCCCCACTTCCTGTCTTCCATCTACAGTGCTACCTGATTAACGAAAAACCACAGAAAAAAACACAGTAGAATAATATATATTTATAAATTCTGTTAATTGATAATAATAAAAAAAAGTATCACTGACTAACATTGTCATTTACTTTTAATTTCTAGTATGTATTACATATGTTAAAGACTTTAACAAATATATTTCAAATTACTGTTTTCAAAGTAATCAAAGTTTTAAACAAATCGATTACTAGTATATTACTCAAAATGATTTATTTCCAGCTACATTATCTTTGATACACAAGACTCAATATTATACAGTTATTGCTGTTTTTTGAAGTCCAGACGATATTTAGCAACCTTAAGGAGTACAATATTCACCAACCCTAAGGGTGAGATGAATATTGTAATTTAAAGGAAGCTAATTCATCATAATGACTAAAAAGACAGCAGTAATTGATTTTATTATATGATTTATTATGATTAAATGATACAAACCCGTTAAGCGGGTATGCCATCTTACGTTTTAAATTTGCTGAAGTCCTAACCAGATGCAATTAAAGAAACTGGGTTAAAGTAATAACCAGTTGTATTTATTTGGAATTCTTAAATTTATTTAAGTTGTGATGTAGAAAAATAAATGTCAGGCACGTATATAAGATCGATTTTTAAAAAAGGGATGGGGGCATTATAATGAAAAAAAAAAGCTTGACAATTAACCTGAAAAAAAATATTTGACTAATCCCCCAAAAGAGGAGAATTCTCCAAACTTCAAGTTTTTTTTTTTTTTGGGGGGGGGGGGGTGTTAGTGTGTTAAGGACTATTAAGTTGGGGGCACCAGCTCTTCAATGAACATTTTATACATTGAATGTAAAAATTACGTTCAGAAAAAAGTGTGGGGAGGGGGACTGGTCAGGTGAACATACAGGTGAACACAATGTAGTACTTTTTCAACATTGTTGGATTTCAGCAAATAAGAGAGATAGAAATTGTTCAATTATATAATAAGTATGATTGTTTAAGTTTGAAATATGTAATGACTGTACTGAAAAAAAGAATGACTGGAATTTTTTTCTCACTGGAGATACTTATAAACTGTTAGTGTATTGGTGTAATCTTGTCCCACATAGATGTTGTTCTCATCATCCTCGCACACACTACGGGGACGGCGTACCCACTGTTTTTGTGTGAGTAATAGAGACAATAACTGGCCGTTCTGATCAAGAAGATGGACACTGAAACCATCACACACCAGAATTTGACCAAGGACATCAGTACAGATTCCCCAGGGAGTGAACTTTGACTCTTGACCTTTATAAGAAAACCTATATTGTCCTGTTTTATTCACCGACACTACTCCATTATAAAAGTCTGATGTACAGATATCTCCATTGATGTTTTCTGTGATATAGTGTGGTAGTTTATACAGTCTCTGTCCTTTGTTATCCCACTGTATGTTCTGTAGTTCTTTTCCTGTCTTGTTGTACCTAGTGACTTTAGCCTCTTCAGTCTTCTTCATCCCCACCAGTAAGTCCCCGTTGATGTGAGAGGAGTGTATGCTGAGTGGTACCCAGTTTCCAGTTTTAATGGATTCAGTGATATTATTATCCTTTGTTATCCTGTTGATGACTTTCTTGTCCTGGTCTGTAAAGATCAGATCCCCGTCCTGTGTCACTGTGTGGTAACCACGTTCACTACAGGTTTTTATCCTCTGTATCTCTTTCCCCTGTAGATCTGTTTGGACAAGATTACCATAACTGTAACTGATCCAGAGTCTGTCTGATTGCTCTAGTGATATATGGTATACACTATAAACACCTGGTACATACAACTCCTTGACCTTGGTGACAGAGGTAGAAAGAGACAATGTTTGTTTCTTGGCAGATTTCTTTCTGTATTTTTTCAATTGTTCGAGTGAATGTTTCGTTGCTGTATTGTAGACACTTTCAATGGGCCTTATTTCTCTCTTTTTTGTCTTTATTTCGGGGATATGTATTTTACCAAGTAATTTTGTGACATCGCTTTTGCTGTACTGGCCAGCAGTAAATACTGGTATGACTGGTTTTGTTGTCTGTGGTATGGATCGGATCTTCGGCTTCTCAGATATTAATTTCATAGGCATTGTAGAGGACAGGCATCTGTGGAGCTCTTTGACAAGGTTATTAAGATAAGTGGTGTAATCATCCATGGTCCTGCCTTGGGAGTTGAGATCTTCTAACAGTGAATGCTCTATCTGGTCTATCTGCTTCATGTTCTCAGATATGACTGTGTCTAACAGACATTTCAGGAATTCAACTTCAGTTTTCATGGATATCCTGATGTTGTCCATGATGTTTTTGATTTTAACGGCATCTTTTTTAAATTCTTTCTGTAAATCTTGTGATATTGGGAGAAAATACTCAAGAATTTTGGAGATTTCTTCTTGGCAATTCACTAATTTTTCTTCATAGATTATTTCTAGATCAACAAATGTATGTCTTTGGTGGCCCCCCTTTGAAGCACACTTGGAACACAGTGGGACTTGGCACTCTTTACAGAACATGTCTATATCTTTAGTGGGATGGATCTTGCATTTTTCCACAGGAAGTTGTCGTTTGCGTTGTTGGTAAAGGACCACCTCATGGTTTTGGATTTCTAGACTTTTCATATGTTCATCTCTGCATTGTTTGCACAATCTTTGATGACAAGGGTTGCAATAGAACTCACAGTTTCTTTCACATTCTTCAGTACCACACACTAAAAAATGTTGGGCTGTGCGAGGAATACCCGTTTTAGAAAATGCCATCTAAAAATTGTAAAGTTTCCACGTATTGAAAGAAAACGAGAGCACTGGGCACTTAAGATATACACAATTTATATACATATAAAAAGAAAAAAAACACATTTTTTTTAGAGTAGTTTAATTGTCGAACATCAACTAACTTAGTATAATGCTAAAAATTTATTACTGCTGTAGAATTTAAATACAATGAATTTTTAGTTTGTATTATTTGATTTATTGAATATTCTATAATAATGAAAAAGAGGATTAAACAGCTGGTTTTAACTGTAGCCTACATATAATTTCTCCGTAATCAATTACAAAATGAAAAGTTTACATACGAGGATTGTCTCAAAATTCCGTAGACAAGCGTGGTTTTGTAGGAACCCGATGTCATACATTAATGAAACTTTGTATATAAATAATATTAATAATAACTTACACATTTATTGACATATATTGAGCAATTACATATTTGGACCCTATTTAAATACAATTTTTAGTGCCTGGTGTAAGAAGAGGGTCCAGTGCCCATAAATTTCTATTAAAATCGATAAATAATATTTAAAATTTTACGAAAAGGTATTCAATACTCCGAATTTTGAAAACAGAAATAAAAATTCTTGATATTACATTGTTATCTACCTTTCCTTCAATTTTTCGGCATCCGACTTGATTAATATGAATTTTATAACGTTTTATATGCACCAGTTGGAAATCTGACTTGTCGAAAAATGGCGATTGCGTTGACAAAGGCGATGGACTGTGATCAAATGTTCTACGTGTAAATTGAATTCGCTCCTACAGAAACGCAGAAGTTATAAATGTCTGGTACGCCTGTATATGTATTCCGGTCCTTACTATATCAATTTTTTGAATTCGTGAAAAAACGAAACTAAATAAGAGACAAGCCGAAGAGAGGGGCAAGAAATCGTTGTCAAAGTGACATTTTGCAACGGAGGAAAAAAAAACCCTTAAAGACATGGGGTTTTTAAAGTAATTATTATTTGATACATATACATGTGCATACTTTTTTTGTATTTTCTCATGTTATATCAAAACCTAGCAATAAAGATAATTTTCATTTAATTCTATGATCTTTATCCATGTTTATGATGAATTAAAGAATTTGTTTCTAGTAATATGTGCATCTACCCCAATCAAAATTGGTGACGTTAAGTGTATCTTTTTTGACGTCAGAGATTGCTCCGGATGTTAAGGAACGGTAATTCTGAAATTGTTTTTACTCGAATTGTTTTCAAACAATCATGTTATTAATAAAACTTCGTGATTAACCAACCAATAACATACTTCATCCACCAAGAAAATTTTACAGAGATACGTTCACTTTTGTAAAAGATATGGGCTCAGTCTACGGAATTTTGGGACAGCCCTCAATGTAAATTTTTAAGTATTATATAAATTCATTGAATATGTAAAAAAAAAATTTAACTTATCCTTAATACTTACAATATCTGAAAATGATCTATAAATCCCTCTACCCTACAAACTCGGTTAGAGACTTCAGAGGACACGTAAAGAAGGTCTGTATTTTGATAACTTCCTGGATGGAGATGAATACAGATTTAAATATTATCATGTGTGTCAATGTTTATAAATAAAATGTTGCCGTTCTGAATACCCCACTTCAACCCTCGTCCTGATACGAGGCCACTAAACCTGATATGACATTTGAAATCAAATGGAGTTTAGTGTATTTTTTAAATAATCTCTTGGGACATGTTGTAATTAATAAAATATATTTGATTTTATTGATGTCAGATTGTTTAATATAAGGTAAAATATTTTCAACTTAAATCACATGCAACAAAAATTAGTCAAAAATGTCAAATTTGTGGACAATATTGCTGAGTGTTATTCAGTATTTTGTTTCTGAAGGTTAGCTTTGGACGTCCAATTTTTCTTAATTTCTTCGTGAAATGTGAAGGAAAGTATTTTTTAGAAAAATTATTACTACATGCTATTCATGTTTGTTTGTTTTTTTTTTATTTTCAACTTAAATCACATGCAACAAAAATTAGTCAAAAATGTCAAATTTGTGGACAATATTGCTGAGTGTTATTCAATATTTTGTTTCTGAAGGTTAGCTTTGGACGTCCAATTTTTCTTAATTTCTTCGTGAAATGTGAAGGAAAGTATTTTTTAGAAAAATTATTACTACATGCTATTCATGTTTGTTTGTTTTTTTTTTTTGTTTTTGTTTTTTTTTTTTGTTTTGTTTTGTTTTGTTTTGTTTTGTTTTTTTGTTGTTGTTTTTTTTGTTTTTTTTTTTTGACATTGTGAGAAATAATGCCACAAATTAGACAGACTTCATCGAAATAACATTAAATTTCAGTTAAATATAACGTGCCTTTAAAAGTGTTCTCTCTCTGGAAAATCATTTTCTTAAGTATTGTGGCTAGATCATAAGCATATTTGCCATTGTTTTTCTCCATGTCTTCATCAGGTTTGCCTGAATGATGGAGTGGAGGTGTGGTTACAGAGGTTTCTGTGGCCAAGACACTGCGAGAGCTGAACATCAGCATCATACAGGACTGTAATAATGGGGTGGTCATGATGGACGAATGAGCATCCAAGGTCAGTGGATGGCAGGGGGTATTAATAAAGTTATTATTGAAATAAATCAGAGGATAAAATGAAATTTGAGAGATTGCATGTTATTTTGGAGAAGAGCATTATTGTATGCCATAAATCTGTCTTATGTACTCATGTAAGGAGCTCTTTTACGGCCTCTCCTTTTTCGATTTAATAAAAATATTGAGGATAAAAGGCTTTTCCGTATAAAATGTCACAGATTATTTGACCACTAATTTTAAATATCAGAATACGTAGTACATATCACAAACCATTAACGTGTTACGAAAGTTAAATCAAATTTTTAAATCAAGTTTCCTATAGCTGTATGATAATTTGCTCCAAATGTAATACAGGGCTTAGTAGAATTAAGTAATGATAAAGTAAAAAAAATATCTATAATACCATCTTCATAAGTTATTAATAAGTAAAATTAGAGTGCAGTATATTCCGTTCTCTTCAAGTTTACCCTGTGATTGCAATGGTTCTGTACAGAGTAGATTTAATTTATTATGGTTGTGTTTATCGGACAGTGATGCATAAAGTTGTTGTTTATACTCTTGTTCATATTGTTTTTATTTTGAAATTTATATTTACACTATTTTAAAGACTATCCTTGCATATGTGTCAAAATATTGTGTACTGCTGACTTTCATTAAACTTGATTGTTTTTCATGTTTTTGTCATTGTGATAAGTTGAATTACCTTTTGTATCAAGTTGGTTATTTTATGTGTAAATAGTTGTAATTATATCCTTAGTTTGTTTCCGTAGTTGAGAGTGTTCCTGAATAGGGTAATTTTTAGTATAATCGGTCTGGTCAGGGAGAGTCTTGGCTGTTTGTCAAATGTGCGGCCACGTTTTGATTTTGTTCTGTACTCGATGACTAAAATTGTTGCGTTGACAAGAAGTTTCTTCATAAATGCAGTCACGATAACTGTTTGTACATGTACATGTTCTATATTTAACAGAGAAAATGTATGGAACGGTTTATATAAAAATATTTACATTTGCAAATGTTTTCCCTTATATAACATTAATCTGAGCAATACGTATCTATAACTGTATAAATACCTATACGGGGTCAACAGAGGTCATGGATGTGCGTATGAATATTTATGAAAACTAGGTTAACGGCACTATTTTTACTAAGGCAACACACATTTATCGATCGCTTCCGCTTATTGCAGAAGTCTAAAAAGCGATATAACCAACATCATAAATTGTATTTATCGTTTTATTTGTATTCCAAGCAGTGGACTCCATCAATAATAAAACATTTCTGCAAAACAATGTCTTATTCATGTATGTCTAAATTTTCGTCTGCTACACTGACCCCAGGTCACTCTAATGTAAACAATGGCTGAATTTGGCAACTTTGATATGGGTGACGCAGAAATGTACCTTCTGCTAGACGATGACATATTTGCATCACTAGATCTTTCCTTTATGGCACCTCTGAGTGTTGAGGAAACTAATGAAATGGAGAAAGATCTGAAAGTATCAGATATGGAGGGTCTGCCATGTCCTGGTGTTCCTGTTCATACACCCCCACCAGCAAAGAGATTCAAATCTATCTCCGAAAATGAAATGCAGAACTTTCAGGATGCAAGGCAATCTGCATCTACAAAAAGAAACACAAAATGGGGAATCAAGTTATTTCAAGGTACATCTCACAAGTGTAATCATATTATTGTCAATATTTTAGCTGTTTTGCTGTTTATTTGATCACATTGAACACAAAATCATGAGTAAAATATAAAATTTAATGGTAAAACCAATAACTATTTAGTAAAAATTTATAACAAAGAAAAGTTAATCCATGATGATTATGATATGCCCTTGTAAGAGAGGCAAGTACATGTTGTATTGTATAGTATCTATATGTACAACGAACAGACACACTCACCACCAACAAAGACACACGTGTAAAATACTATACCTATAGTAGACTAATATGCACAACAACTAACCTGTATGAAATATCCAATAACAATGCAAACTGCATTAAAGATTTCTCAAAATGTTACTAAAATTTGAATCAAATAACATGCAAAAACTTTGGGAAAATTGTTAAAAAGTAAATAAATAAAACACTAGTAAAATAAAAAAAAATTGCAAGAAATATTTCCAATTAATTTTTAGATTGGCACTTGGAAGCCTTTGGTGAACATCTTGACTTCTTGACAGTCACTGCAGAATTCCTAGCTAACAGATTAAGAAAGTTTCATTGTGAGGCAAAGCCCAAAGAATCGAAAAAGCGGTCTGTAGAACTTACTGAAATACAAGCAGAAACTTACCACAAAAACTCCTTAAAAATTCTCAGATCTGCAGTAAACAGGCACCTGCAGGATTTGGGTAGGTCGATTGATGTCGTAAGAGACAAAGAATTTAAAGCTGCCAATCACATCCTTGATGGGATGTTAAAATGTAGGACAAGAACTGGGGCATCAAGGGCCACAAACTACAAAGAAGTAATCCAAACAGAGGATTTACAGAGAATCTCCTCCTATCTCAAATGCGCACTATCTTCTCCTATTGTTCTGCGACAATGTGTGCGGTACAACCTTTCAATTCATTTAATTTCCCGTGGTTTAGAATTTCACCACCAGTTACGCAGGGACTCGTTTCTGTTCCAGAAGGATGAAAATGGCCTACAATATGCTACACTTAGACATGAACCACAACAAAAAAAATTCCAGGGTGGCATTGGATGTCATGAAGCTCCTTCGGACAAAAGAATTTATGAGATTCCAGGGAGTGATTTGTGTCCAATAAAAATGCTTCAGGTTCTTGATGAGCAAAACAGATAAAAATGCTACACATCTCTTTAATTCATGCTTTAAGGATTCTCTCTCTCTCTTCCAGGTCTGCAAGAAGTGTGGTATACTGATAAACCTTTGGCAAAAAGGTCATTCACAGGATTCATGGCCGATATATGTAAATCGTCAAAATGCATGAGAAACTACACACCACACTACCTCCGTGCCACAGCCATCACAGCCATGAGTGATGCAGGTTTCCAAGCACGCCAAATCATGTTTATGTCGGGAAATGTATGGAAACGTGTTGCAAACAGAATTCAGCAATAGTTATCGATCACAAATAAAAATATAAGTAATAAGGTATCATTTTTAAACATCTATCGGGATATAAATACGGGTACGAGATCAAATTTACCATAAAGCCCGAAGGGGTTGGTACGAGATCAAATTAACCATAAAGCCCGAAGGGCTTTATGGAATTTGATCACGTGACCAACCCGTATTTATATCCCGAAAGATGTTTAAAAATGATACCTTATTTCTTAAATCTTTATTTCTAAATTTGTACATATTGTCGTTTTGTACATATTGTCGTCGGCGACAATATGTACCTACCCTCACTGCACATATTGTCATCCATCGGTACATATTGTCGCCGGCGACAATATGTACCGAGACGAGCCTTATTTTCCTCCTGCATAACGGACGACAAAATGCACATATTTTCGTGATCAATTTTTTTCATAGAATATTTAGAAAAAAGTCTTTCAAAATCTTTTTTTTCAAGAACTACTGGGTCAGAAGAGATGCTAATTATGTGAAAGCTTCATTACATAGCGTACGTTCAATTTTGACTTGCTGGCACGAAAAAGATCCCTCACTGCTCAATGATCCTCAGTGCAAAATATAGGTCTAAATTTGCAGCCCTCCACCTGCAAGTGGTGACGTCTACATACAAATGAAAAATTCTCGAGATGGACATTATAACAACAAACAAACAAACAAACAAAAACAAAATCAATTTTGTTCAAATCATGACCTCAAGGGGAGGGTGGGGCTACAATCGGTCAATTATATTGGATGCATGTACATATGTTCATAAGAAAAAATTCTCTTGAAATCCATCTTAGCTAATACAAAGTACCCTTTGTAGGAGGAAAAAGATACCATAAGTGGTGCTATAGTCATAGGAATGTAATGTCAAAATGTGTTGCTTTATAAATACATGTAACTTACTATCAAATTGTGTGGAGCCATAAGAATACTATGTGATGCTTTGTACATTACATCTTTAAATGGTGTGGGGTCATGGGGATTTTTCATTGGGTGCATTTTAACTTATCATAAAATGGTATGTGAGATGGTACTTTGTAACTTAACTTCATATTGTGTTGGTTCATTAAATATTATGTAGTGTTTTGTAACTTACCATTAAATGGTTGTGGGGTCTGCTAAATATCATTTGGCATATTGTAACTCTCCATCAAATTGTGTAGGAGATTTACACTGTAACTAACTATTAAATGGTGTAGGAGAAGGTTCAATGTAATTTACCATCAAATGGTGAGGGAGATGGTATCCTGTAACTGACCATAATATGGCGTGGAAGATGGTTCCCTTTAACTTTCCATTAAATGGCATGGAAGATAGTATCCTGTACTTACCATCAAATGGTGTGGGAGATAATACCCTGTAACTTACCATGAAATGGTGTGGGAGATGGTACCCTGTAACTTACCATGAAATGGTGAGGGAGTTGGTACCCTGTAACTTACCATCAAATGGTGTGGGAGATGGTTCCCTGTAACTTACCATCAAATGGTGTGGGAGATGGTTCCCTGTAACTTACTATCAAATGGTGTGGGAGATGGTTCCCTGTAACTTACCATCAAATGGTGTGGGAGGTCGAGGAAACATCTTGTGGGATAAGGTATTGGTGGACGGCATGCTGTCAAAAACTTTGTTTAGTCTGGTGAAGACATACTGGTCATCTCCCAATAAAGTCTGTTAACAAAAGAAAATATCTATCAATCTTACAAGTTCCAAGCTAATTACAATATGCTTTATTTTTTCAGTCCTAAATTTTTGGTCATTTTTCACACATTGATGACATAGCAAGTCTAGATTATGACTACTTATTTGGGTTCATTTGGTTTCACTTATAATGACTGTAATACAAAATTAATTAATGCACATGTGTTATCATTAGAAAAAAACACTACTTTTGAATAAAAAAAAAACAAAACCTTAATATACATGTAAAAGGACAATGTGCATGCTACAAATAATCGGTGGTGATCGATTGGACTTTCAATGAGAGTGAGAAAGAGAGAGCTGAATGGGTTTATCATATCAACCATATTAAAAATGTATCTTGTATACTTACATTGTCCATGAATTCACTGCTAAGATTGAGCCAAGTGTCCAAAAAGGACTTGTCAAATTTGTAAGGGATCCAATTTTGATATTTAAAAAAAAAAAAGAAGGAAGGAAAAACATTTTCCTTTTCCTCTAAATCAATAGAAAAACAATTTAAATAAAGGAGTAAATGTATACGACATTTGAGTTTGATCCACCTTTTCAAAATCAATTATGAAATTCTATTAAAATGTGCAACTATATGAATAATCAAACTTCTAGATAAATTACAGGCATCGACCTATACATGCAAATTTACCACCATGAAAAAAAAGTAGTTGTTTGATTGTCAGCTATTACCCTAATGCACTAAAATTAAACTTTTGTTCTCGCTAATAATAAATTTTACGGAACTCTTGAAATTAGTTTTTAATTAGAAAGTGTAAACTATATATGTGCCTCTAACTCAAACCACTAAGTCCTTTGTATCCCATGAAAACAAAATTCTACCAGTAATTAATGAATTAAGAATTCAACATCTACATGTACTTCTTAGTGAGTCCAGCATCACACATACATATAAATAAAGAATAGCAAACAAAAAGTTGAGAAGCATAAAAGGAGAACAATTCTATCTCTCAATATGAATTATAATAAATAGTTCCTAGTTTTAGCGCTGTATTTTCCTACATCACTAGATCTCGGCTACAACAGTCTTTTAGATTCTTATTTACCTCAGTCTATAGGGTGGGCACTCTGGGGATGTACATGTAGCATTAAAGCATAGAGACTTCAAATTTAATCAGCTTTTTAATGACTGTATGACTGCATACACTTAATTAACATTTAATTTGAAAGAATCAGTACCCAAAAGGAAATAAAAATCATTTATTATATGTTTGAAATCAAGACATGGGCATAAATACTGAGAATATTAGTTTATGACAATTTCAAGTATGGTTCTAAACTCAAATCAAATCTTGGCATTTTTCATTTTGTATGCATAAATTATTTTAACAATTTTTTCTGAAGGAAATTTACATGTAAATTATGTATGAGAAAAAAAGTCATGCATCTAATAAAAGTTCAATAATGGATAAATATGGAAAGTGATATAATTAGAGGGTTAGCTTCATGCATTGGTGATACATACTGCACAGTGAAATATACACACTGTCATGTGATTGGCATGATGCATGCAATATATTTCAGTGTCTCCGCTGCGCTGCATTTGCTGCATTTGTGAAGTGGTATGTATGTACTTCACCCTAAATTTAACTTATTAAATATTTTATAAAAATGGCATTTAAGATAATTTTTACACTAGCAGTACTGCATTTTATGAAGTCATGCAAATTTAAAAGCACTTTGATCTAAAGTATGTGGTGTGTTGTAAAGTCTAAGATATTTATCAACTTCCTAACTTAGTTTTTAAAATAATTATTGTGCACATTTCCATACCTTTTTTTAGACTACAGAAGTTTTAAAATGGAATTAAATTTCCTCAAACATTTCCCTGAATTTTTTTTTTATGTCTTCAAAACAATATATAAAATAGTACACAAGGTTTTATATTCAGCACATGTATAATAATATGTACAATACAATTGGCGCAAATTATCATTCCGTTAAAGGCAGTGAATTTTTGGAGTTAACTTTGGTCACATGTTAATTTATTGGTCTATGGTCACACTATTAACACACTGTTAATGCCTACCGCACTAAGTTCGTCCTGTTATACAAGGAAAAAACAAATGTATTGAATTTATACATTAATAAAATCAACTTCCTAAAGAGTTGTATCTAAATTCTCTAAATAAAAATCCTGAAGCTTGGTTTATGAAATGCATAGAAACTTTCAAAACAATAAGCTTAATTTTAGTTAAGTCTAACCTAATAAAATATGAAAATTATTCATTTTGTGCATGGCTTGCAAAAAAAATAATAATGCATTAATTTGAAACTGTATTAATCAAATTCACAAGTGAATGATCGGTATGCATATAGAAATGTATCGGACCATCTCAATTTTATATCTCTTTGAATAAAGTTTCAATCACATGAATAATGAGCAAGTGTGATTTTTCAAATCCCAAACCACCCTAACAAGAGAGGAATATAAAGGAAAGAAAAGTCCATTTATCCCAGAGCATTTCATTGACATGAAAAGGATGATGTTTCAAATGTATCTGCTGTGAGAAATCAAAGAGAAAATGAGTCGAACTGTTCTGTGACACTTACCACTACGGTCTGGTGAATATGGCAGCCCTCCGGAACATCAAGATATTGATTAGGAGCACCATCCAGTGCCTGGATAAGTGTGTTCAGTCGCACATTGAGGTTAAAAAAGGCTTGTGGGTGGCGGTACTTCACTGCAATATAGGTCTTGAAAAAAAAATAATCTTAACCAGCCATTTATCTGATTTTCATTAAAGAAAGTACTACAGAAGAAAAGCTAAAAATACTTAGTGAACAAAAATTATCATATCCCTTGAAAAAGCAAAATAAAGTGAGTGAAGCCATTTCTAATTCAAATCAAAGAAAAAGTCTTCGATATCAAGAGCAAAAGTATTACAACCTTTGACTTCAAAGTCCCTCTTGAGGGCTCCAGAGGACAGCCAGAAGTCCACCAAGGCACATAGACTTTGCTGGTCATAGAAATCTGTCACATAGCCACCATACACAATCTGTCAACAAAATCAAGTAACTCAATTCAATGAGAGAATTAAAAAGCTAGGCTATCACACTTTATATTTTTAATCATGAAAAGTTTAGTTTATACAGCAATTTAAGGCCAGAGAAACTGCAGGAAAGTCTTACAGCATGAAAGTCTATAATAAAGTTTTTTAATTAATTTATATATGGTAAAATATAAACATTTACTATATTGTTTTAATTATCTTTTCTAACTTTATATGAGACCAAGATGTTCACCTCTGCAACCATGTATCTAATGCCATTGTAAGAGACAGGTCTTGGCATCTGGGATCCATCTGGAGCCACACAGTTCAGTGGTTCCTTAAAATCAGTCTGGACTATTGCCAGGGCCTCCTGCAAAAGTGAAAGTACGTTAATTTAAAACAGCAATCTCAGCAAAAAAATCGATGTTGGTAAAGCATGTCATGAACTGTGCCATATAATTCTTACCTGCAGACAGTTGTAATCAATACTGTAGAAGTCCTGAGAACAGTTCTACCCTTCCTGACCAAACCTGGCCCTCAGCTGAATAGCAACATGGAGGAACACAAATTGTGTAGCATTACAGGCCACTCAGGTGGTGTTCAGATTAGACAAGTTTTACTGTAAAATCTAAATGGTTCATTTCTAAAGAAGGAAGTCACAATTTAAAGAATTTTTCTGTATTTACAAGTAGTGCAGATTTCTTAAAAGTTTATTACTTATTTCTAAATTTACTAATTCATTTCAAAAGGCTGTTAGTTTAGAAAAAATTTCTGATCTTTGGTGTGCCCACTACAGCTTTAATGGAATTCTGCAGCAGTCTGACTGGGATAACATTAGGGTCTGCTTGACTGGCCACGAAGACACGGAATCTCTCGGGGTTTGGTTTTTCTGCGAGGAAGGACTCCAGGTTGTTGAGGACATTGGGGCATTGTGAGCATGGTTTATGTAAACCCAAGATCCCTTCAAAAATAGAGAAAAAAGGAAATGATTACTTTCATTATGTAGTTAATTATGTAAAATATGAACATATCAGGAATTCATCAACATTTTCATGATCTTCTTTTCATCTCACTGACCGCCTTTCGTATAATCATTCAGTCCTTGCTACGTGTAGCCTGGGAGTTATCTGTTACTGTGATCATATGACGCTGGTGTAGGATCCCTAACACAGAAAAGAAGGAAATGATATTTACTAGTAAACATCACTCAAACAATCTTCATAATGTAGAAGCTATTGCATTTTTATATTTAAAGAAAATCTTAATTTGAAAGAACCTTTCTCTCGCTGAGCAACTATGGATGAACTTTGTTGTTGTTTAACATTGATGTATGTCAATATGCTGTTCATTAATCATAACTACTCATACATGTACCTTTTACTGGGGAAAGGGTGCCTAACTTCTCGATTTACCATTAAAATGCATGTTTACAGATGTAAATGAAATTTTGATTGTGTTAACAAGCAGAGTATCATTGAGAGGGCATTATTAGAATTCTCATTGATATTCCTTGGAGTACAATACCACAAGGTAGTTACATGCTTTACATATTCTATGTAAGGCATTTGTGGCATGTTTCTGTTAGGTATAAGGGAAATTGCCCGACCAGAAATGCAGTAGGCTTATCCACTTTCACTGTTACTTTCTCATTTTGAAACTTGTTAAAAATCTTTCAAATTATTGTCTTTTGATGAGAAATGGTCACACATGGGGTATTTGTGTTTATCAAACACATCTTGCTATCTTTATTTTGGTAGACTAAATGTATTTCCTGTGAGAAACGTTCCAACCTTTAATTAATTATTGTCATATACAAATTTAGATTGAAAAATTCTAAATTTTTGTAGAGGACACTGATGTATAACTGTAATAAGTATAAAGTATTGACCAGTGATGCATATTTTTTCCCACTTTTTGAATATTCTGTTGACATTTTGAGATATGTGAACAGATGAACTTTTTTTTCAAAGGGCACTACCAAACATTTTCAGATGGGCGGGGGGGGGGGGGGGGGCACTATCAAGCAAAAATTCCTTGACAAACAAAAAAAGTCTTCAGACGTTATTATCTGGGGGGATGCATAAGGTAACTACGTTTTTGATAGTATGCTTTATATCAGCAACAAGGCCATGCACCTCGGTTCCTATGGGCATGTGTACAGCTAATAAAGGAATACAAGTAGTAGGCGATGCATACATGTATCAACAAAAACGTTTGATCTCAAATGACAAGGCGAAAATACCGAACAGTGAAAAATGAAATCAAAGTACAGTTTAAACATATTGATAGGAAATTATTATATCTATGATTTAAAATTCTTTTTCAAAGTACAGTCAAAGAAAAGGTTTTTTTTTAATCAATTATGTAAATTATTTTGAAATGAAAAAATGAAACTGTCAGTTTTCTTTCTTTTCAGAGCAAATATACTGTTTAGTCTTTTTGGTATTGATTCACATGAAATTTTATTTCATTTTGGCTCATCTGAGCTGAAAGCTCAACTGAGCTTTTCTGATCACCCATTGTCCGTCGTCCGCCCGTCCCTCTCTCCGTCCGTCCGTCTGTAAACTTTAAACAATTTTGACTTCTTTTCAAAAACTACTGGGCCAATGTCAACCAAATTTGGTACAAAGCATCCTTTGGTCAAGGGGATTTTAACTTGCTGAAATGAAGGCCCATGCCCTTTTACTAGGTGAGATACAGACCCTGAAAGGTGCTACTACCCCAAACGCACGCTGCACGAACGGTACACGCTCGTTACACGGTTTGCACAAAACGCTACAATGTTTACACGAAACGCTACACGGTTTGCACGAAACGCTACACGGTTTACACGAAACGCTTTGCACGAAAAGCTGCACGGTTTACACGAATGGCTGCACGAAACGCTTTGTACATGTTTCACACACGCTTTGTACACGAATCTCGCACGCTTCGGCCTCGATTTGGATTTTCTATTCGGAATCTCTCGAAAATTATTAAAATTATTAGGGATTAATCATAGATAAATTAAGGATCGCAATCTTTCACAATACGTTAAGTTAAAACTCACTACACAAATACTACATAAAACTACAGAAATATTCAATGGTAATTAATAATTGTCAATTCCTATTTAATCTCCCGATCATCGTTTACGTACAAACATTTTTCTAGCGTCTAAATTACTCAATATATATTTGCCATTCATAATCTCTTACAGCATGAAAAGGTTTTTACAATTATGCTTTTATGAATAGAGAAAAAAAAACTCGTTTTCTCACTGGAATATAAACTCATTTATTGATTTTTATTTAAATCATATTGATGAAATTGTGTTTGATTTCCTTAAACGGATTAATTTTGTTTTTGATTTAGTAATAAAATAATTTTATTCGATTAATTCAGGCTATGTTTATGATGCAAAGTTAATTAGTAAAATGCATCAAACAGAAACATTATGCCGGACTTTTACAGGAAGGGAGGGGGGGGGGGGGGTAAATTACCGAGTACCGAGATCTTACAAGGCATTTGTTTCAGTAAATACATGTATGCTATTGGGAAAAAATTAAAAATTATTACAGAAACAATTGCCTGTGCTAAGAAAATAAGAGTATTCACGTCTCCAGCGGAATCAGATTAAAATCCATAAAATGCACTTTATTGTGAATGGTAAATCTAAAATTTCAATACAGAGTTTAATTTAACATGAAATGAACACATTTTCTGCAAATCTTTATTTTCAGTAGAAAAAAAAACAAACAAACGAATGTGATATGCATTACCGCGTAGTTTTATTTTGTTGTTTCCGTATTTTTTTTCACTCTTAAAATACCGACAGTATACTAGCTATATCCGAATAATATAAGTTACAAACAGCCCAATTTGTCATCCATCAATAGCCATATTTTAAAATTAAAATGACTGATTGTACTCTTAAAATACCTACAGTATATTATATATCCGAATAATATATTACAAACAACACAATTTGTCATCCTGACCCATCAATAGCCGTATGTAAAATTAAAATTATTTTTCTGTCTCCCAAATGATTCACACAACGTAGACTGATAGATATAGATTTATTGTTGTCAAAAATATTGTAAAAGCTACAAAACAAACACGAACTTACAATAAGGTACAAATGTAAAAATACTACGATACATGTAGGTTAACAATGTAGGTCAAGTGAACCGAAGTGAACCGAAAAATATAAACAATACACAGTTATAGACCGAAAAGTTTAAAGAAATCAAAGTAATGCAAAAGCTATAGAAAAACAATGCATAAAGTACATATATGTTCACTTACACTGGTAACGACTGTAAGTTTGGACAAGAGTCGAAAGAAAGAATGCCTTGGAACAAAGGAAAATGTGCAAAGCTATAATTAGCTCCATAAGTTAATACGGAAGACGGTTATAGGCAATTTCAACAAAATAAAATGATAGAAACGGATAGGATAAAAACAAAATGCGCTTTACCACAATGACTTACTTCCGAATGAATCCTACACGTTTTTCACACCATTCTTACATGAAAGTCGCAAGTTTCTCACACAGTTCTTACACGAAAGTCGAACGTTTCTCACACGCTTCTTGCACGCTTGCTACACGGTTTGCACGAAACGCTTAGGAGCTTACACGAAACGCTGCACGGTTTACACGGAACGCTACACGGTTTACACGAAACGCTACACTGTATGCACGAAACGAAAAGCGCACGAAAGTCACACGCTTTTTGGGGGTAGTAGCACGTTTCAGGGTCTGTAATAAAGAATAAACAAAAATAGAGTGGACTCATAAAAAATCTTTTTCCCAAGAACCACTGGGTCAGAAAAGGTTAAACTTATATAAAAACTTTGTATAGTAGTGTAAATTCTAAATTGTTCAAATCATGTCTCCCAAGGGTAGGGTGGGGCCACAATAGGGGGTCAAAGTTTTACATGGGAAAATAAAAAAAATCTTTTTCTTGACATCCTCTGAGCCAAAAGTGATGAAACTTCTCTGAAAGCATTCTGACATAGTGTAGATTCTAAATTGTTCGATTGATCCCCCCTCCCCCCCCCCCCCCAAGATAGGGTATCGAGATCATCATAAATGTTACATATGAAAATAACAGTATCAAGTGAGTAACAGAGCACTTGATGTCATAGTAAATTGGAGTGTTGTATTTAAGTTAAATGTGGTGTTTTTGTCCTTATGCGAAAACACCACAATCAAATCAAAATATATATTTTAGTCACACTGTTGTGTTTTTCGTAGTATTTTGATTTTTGACGGATCGGGTTTGGTATTCCGAATATCACAATGTGCGATATCAGAATGAGGCTCTTTCTTCTTCACAGCCACATTGCGTTGAACAACAGTTTTGATTAGAATACCTGATTCATTGATTGTTTTTTGTCTGTTGTAGAGGTAATTTTTTTATTGGAAAGATCCAATGACGGACATACGATGTTTTCATTCACTCTTTTTAGTTGACTGTAAACTTTTTAGCTCACCTGGGCTCCAGTGAGCTTCTCTCCTCACATTTTGTCTGGCGTCCGTCTGTGAACTTTTCACATTTTCGACTTGTTCTTTAGAACAACCGGGCCATATTCAACCAAACTTGCCAGAAAGCATCATTGGGTAAAGGGGATTCAAATTTGTTCAAATAAAGGGCTATATCCTTCTACAAACGGAGATAATTAAGAATTAGTGACAATCATCTCTTAAAAATCTTCTTCTCAAGAACCATTGGGCCAGAAATGTTGAAACTTATGTGAAACCTTCATTACATAGTGTAGATCCAAATTTGTTCAAATGGTGATCCCCTGGGTAGGGTGGGGCTACAATGGGGGATCAAAGTTTTAGATAAGAATAATTTGGAGAAAATTTTTAAAAATCTTCTGCTCAAAAACAGCAAAGCCATGATTAATCACACTGATATGGAAGCATCCTATGGTACTCAGGTATGTTAAGGCAGTACCCAATTCATTTTTCAGCGAATTTAGACTTTTTTCGTAAAATGTAACATTGATAAATCGGAAAAGCCATAAATAAAACATTTACTATTATTATCCATTGTATAGACTTCATTGAGTCTTTGGCTAAAGGAGGTACTCGGCTACGACGTCATCACGTGACGTCCATAAATAGAAAAATTGCCTTAATGAAAAAGTGAAAAGTTCAATACCTATCCCGGGGATAATTCATTTCTTTTTGTGAAAATTAATCTGTAAAAACATCACTGTGCCATGAAAAGTGCTGCTAGAATCCTACTCTCCCGACACAAAAAATTATTCCAAAGCTTCGCATGAAATCTTACCAATTTTTTTTTCATATTGTACATACGATCAAGGAATTGTCATCAATTCATGTTAACCACATGATTCTAGCAGCACTTTCCATGTACTATAGAATACAAGCTTCCGATACAAATAAAAATTATGTTTCAAAGTATGCGGCGTAATGTTGAACTTTTGCATCTTTGTTGTTAGAAAGACAGAGAAAAGGCCGATCGGGATTTCAAAACACACTGACTGTTTTCATTATAAGAAAACATAAGAATAAATCAGCCTACCTGATTATTAATCTTTAATTCTTTATGAATCACACATAGCATTCACGGTATATGCTTTAAAAATCCCATTTCATATATTTGTTTACATGAATTTTCGTCACTTTTAATTTTCACTCGGCAAATATTTGATCAATAGTTATGACGTCACGGGTTTGGTATTTAACCCCTGTGATAAATCTATACTTATAAATAAATACATTTTGCAAATAAACTCCGAAACGGGTGCACTAGAGTTCTTACTAACTTCTTTATGAATGCACTAGATACAATGTGCGCATTTCGACAAATTATGTCTCTTCAGTGATGCTCAAGCCGAAGGTTGGGAATCCAAAATTTAAATAAAAGGAATTGGAAGAGCTGAAAAAAGTGCCAAAGACTGGAGCCAAATACGTCCAAGGATCAGAGATATGCATGAGGGAGATAATCCTTAATTTTGAAATAAATTTCTAACTATTACCACAGCCATTAAATATATATCCGTATTTTCAAGCTAGTACCGAAGTACTAGGTTACTGGGCTGTAGAGACCCTCGGGGAGTAACAGTCCACCAGCAGAGGCCTCGACCCAGGAGTCATAATGTAAATCATATACGGTACCAATTTTGATGCACCAGATGCGCATTTCGACAAATTATGTCTCTTCAGTGATACTCAAGCCGAAAGGTTGGGAATCCAAAATTTAAATAAAAAGAATTGGAAAAGCTGAAAAAAGTGCCAAAGACTGGAGCCAAATACGTCCAAGGATCAGAGCTATGCATCCTTAATTTTGAAATAAATTTCTAACTATTACCACAGCGATTAAATATATATCCGTATTTTCAAGCTAGTACCGAAGTACTAGGTTACTGGGCTGTAGAGACCCTCGGAGAGTAACAGTCCACCAGCAGAGGCCTCGACCCAGGAGTCATAATGTAAATCATATACGGTACCAATTTTGATGCACCAGATGCGCATTTCGACAAATTATGTCTCTTCAGTGATGCTCAAGCCGAAAGGTTGGGAATCCAAAATTTGAATAAAAAGAATTGGAAGAGCTGAAAAAAGTGCCGAAGACTGGAGCCAAATACGTTGAAGGATCAGAGCTATGCATGAGGGAGATAATCCTTAATTTTGAAATAAATTTCTAAATATTACCACAGCGATTAAATATCCGTATTCAAGCTAGTACCGAGGTACTAGGTTACTGGGCTGTAGAGACCCTCGGGGAGTAACAGTCCACCAGCAGAGGCCTCGACCCAGGAGTCATAATGTAAATCATATACGGTACCAATTTTGATGCACCAGATGCGCATTTCGACAAATTATGTCTCTTCAGTGATGCTCAAGCCGAAAGGTTGGGAATCCAAAATTTAAATAAAAAGAATAGGAAGAGCTGAAAAAAGTGCCGAAGACTGGAGCCAAATACGTCGAAGGATCAGAGCTATGCATGAGGGAGATAATCCTTAATTTTGAAATAAATTTCTAAATATTACCACAGCGATTAAATATCCGTATTCAAGCTAGTACCGAAGTACTAGGTTACTGGGCTGTAGAGACCCTCGGGGACTAACAGTCCACCAGCAGAGGCCTCGACCCAGGAGTCATAATGTAAATCATATACGGTACCAATTTCGATGCACAAGATGATGTCCGTAAACTTTATTAAGATTTCACTCGCATAATAAGTATCGTACATGAAATTAAAAGTCTACTTTCATTTTCTACAAACAGCCATGAAATAGCAAAAACGTGAGTACGGTGGCGGTTCCGGTTTGCGGATCTAAGTTACTGGCAATTTTTAATGAAACTGACAAGCAATCGTTTATCTATTTCAGAAAACGTCTTCACGGAATTATTAATCAATACATTTCAGTTTTTTTTTCTGAATACAGTCTTTGGTATCAAATACTCGGCCTATTTAAAGGGCGTTAAAAGCTAATGTTTACCAAAAAAATAAAAATAAATAAATAAATAAATAAATAATTTATCATTAAAATGTGCATATTCGCTGCTTTTATCCTTGACGGAAATGAAATAAGAGCACCTGAAGTACAATATCCATAACATAGTATAACAGGTTTCAAAATAAACGTCAGTTAATGAAATTGTTATTTTTCCAAGTTTTTACAAAGGGGGGGGGGGTGTACATCTACTTCTGCTCCAAAGCTGAATGCGGAATTTTGAACAAAGTATTTTTTCCAGCTATAAGCCTGTAGGCTGTCAGTAGAAACTACAATATATATTTTTGGAATTTTTCTGTCGGTAGTGGTATAAATTCGATTCCCCGCGCTTGCGCGGGATTTCATCTAGTACTTAGCTATTTATACCAACCAAAAACGACAAGATTTAGTTAATATTATGTTTTTGAATGATTCCATTCATTTCTTCGACCTGAAATTAAACCTTAAATATAGATATTTAGTAATCATTATCTCTAAAGTTCAAGTCATACAGGTTACTATGACGTCATATTGTATAGGTCGGGGCCACAATAAATGGGGTATCAAATTTTTACAACGGAATATATAGGAAAAATCTTTAAAAATCTTCTGCTCAAAAACAGCAGAGCCATGATTAGTCATATTAATATGGAAGCATTCTCAGGTAGTGTAGATTCAAATTTCTTTAAATCATGACCACCGAGGCCACAATGGGGGATCAAATTTTTACAAGGGAATATATAGACAAAAATCTTTTGAAAAATATCTAAAAAATCTTCTGTTCTAGAAAAGCAAAGGCATTAGTTATATTGATATGGAAGCATCCTTAGATGTGTAAAATTCAAGTTTGCCACACACATCCACTCCCCCCCCCCCCCCATGGAAAGTTTTCAATACTAAATTGATTTGTGCTTTTTCCTAACCATTGTGCTCAGGTGAGTGATCTGGCCCATGAGCCTCATTTTTTTTCTGGAAAGATTTTTTTTTTCAAATTAAGTATTCAATAATTGCATATGAAAAAAAATATGCTTTTTAAGGTAGTCCGATCCTCGGGTTCCGAAAATCAGCTTTTAAGTAATTGAAAGTGCTCACAAAAATGCCTCTGGTTTCACATAGTAACATGAAATATAACAAATAGATTTTCAAGAAATGCCAATAAAAACACAGCTATGCATTTTCTAATTGAAAATTGATCAACAAATATAATTTAGGATAGAAAAATATAAGTATCCAGGCATTTGGAGAAAACTGTATCTTTTTATGCTTATACAGTATTTTAGTTCCTCTTTTTACTTCAGTTGTCATATAATACACAATGTAAAAAGCTTGTGCTATCATTGCTAGACATCACATATCACATCTAATTTCATATCATGCTAATCAGCGGTCGTATCAAATGCTAGACTAAAGGAAATTCAATTTCTAAGTAAAAATGAATTCATTTATTTTTTTTATTGGGGGTACAAATGTCAACTTTTTACAAGACCGTTTCTAAGACTCCAAGGAACTTAAATCATATTAATATGCGTAAAATGAAAATTGTTGCTCGAAAAGATATCAATTTCAAGCTTCATTTTGAGACTTTTTAAATAAAAAAAAAAATAAATTTAAGAGTTATCCTTCCTGGCTGAGTATCGGATATCCTTAAAATATAGATTAGCACATAGATATAGAGGATACTTTCCTGCCAGCGAAATTTTCTTATAAATTAATCATTTTCCAGATGGCATTATCTAAAATGGATATTCACCGCGGAGCCCAGCACTTCTTAGAGTGTGGCATTGTAGAATGTGAAAGAAACTGTGAGTTCTATTGCAACCCTTGTCATCAAAGATTGTGCAAACAATGCAAAGATGAACATCTGAAAGGTCTAGAAAACCAAAACCATGAGATAGTCCATTACCAGCAACGTAAACCACAACTTCCTGTTGAAAAATGCAAGATCCATCCCAATAAAAATGTGGACATGTACTGTGAAGAATGCCAAATTTCATTATGTTCTAAATGTGCTACAAAGGGAGACCACCAAAGACATATATTTGTTGATCTAGAAACAATGTATGAAGAAAAGTTTGTGCTATACCAAAAAGAAATCTCCAAAATTCATGAGTATTTTCTTCCCATATCACAAGATTTCCAGAAAGAAATAAAACAAGATACTGTAGAAATCAAAAACATCATTGACAATATCAGAACATCCATGAAGACTGAAGGTGAAACCCTGAAAAGTCTGGTGGACACAGTCATATCTGAGAACATGAAGCAGCTAGACCAGATAGAGTGTTCACTGTTAGAAGATCTAAACTCCCAAGACAAGACATTGAATGATTACATCACTTATCTTATTAACTTTGTCAAAGAGCTCCACAGATGCCTGTCCTCTACAGAACCCCAGAAATTAATGTCTGAGAAGAAACCAAAGATCCGATCCATACCAGAGACAACAAAACCAGTCACACCAGGATTTACTGCTGGTCAATACAGCAAAAGTGATGTCACTCAGTTACTTGGTAAAATACATGTTCCCAACACTAAACCAGAGAAAAGAGAAATAAGGTCCATTGAAAGTGTCCACAATACAACAATGAAACATACATATAAACAGATGAAAGAAGACAGGAAGAAATCTGTCAAGAAACAAACAATGTCTCTATCTGCATCTGTCACCAAGGTCAGGGAGTTCAATGTACCAGGTGTTGATCATGTATGGCATTTATCACTAGATCAATCGGACAGGCTCTGGATCAGTGACAGGGATGGTAATCTTGTCCAAACAGATCTACAGGGGAATGTAATACAGAAGATAAAAACCAGTGGTAGATGTGAAGGTTACCACACAGTCACACGGGACGGGGATGTGATCTTTACAGACAGAGACAGGAAAGTCATCAACAGGATAACACAGGATAATAATATCACTAAATTCATTAAAACTGGAGACTGGAGACCATACAGCATACACTCCTCCCACATCAACGGGGACATACTGGTGGGGATGGTGACCGAAGAAAATGCTAAAGTCACCAGGTACAACAAGACAGGAAAAGAACTACATAACATACAG